CTTGAAAACGTTTTTTCTGGGAAATTCTACTATTTTTATGTTTGTTATTCTAATTTTTACTTTTTTAAAATTAAATCCCTTAAAGGCAGCGTCCAGGCAGATCCGGACCTATGGGGCTTTTACGTGGAAAGTACTTTTGGGGCTCTAACTAAGGCACTGCCGGAGCGGCAGCTCAGGTAGTGCTGTAGTGGCTGAGATATTCCCCTCGAAACTGGACCCCGCGACCGTGTTTCGCCTGGATTCATGGCGCAAAGCGTGGATTCTGGCGCGAAATTGCCATGAATCCATGCGAATACGTCCGCGGGGGCCAGTTTCGAGGGGAATATCTCAGCCATTAGAGCACTACCTGAGCTACCGCTTGGGCAGTGCCTTAGTTAGGGCTCCAAAAGTACTTTCCATGTAAAAGCCCCATAGGTCCCGATCTGCCTGGACGCTGCCTTCAAAGAACATGTACTAATTACCTGCTTTTTGAATTCCTTTCAAGCTTGGGTCTTAGCTTAACTGCACCCTCTTACGACCCCCCCCCCCCCATTTTAGGTGCTCACTTTACGACCACCGGTTGGACAGTCGCACCACAAGCTTGACCCTGACCTGGAAGTTACTAAGCACAGTAACTAAGAAACGTAATTCTCATGTGCCAAATTAAGACTTCTGCTGCAATTCTAAAATTTCCAAATATGAGGCCACCCAAGTAAAATGATTAATCACGAACATGGTCAACTTTATTTTGAAAGTGAATTTTGCACTCAATACAAAGAACTACTCCTTCTTTGCCCGAACAAAAAAATCCTACTTTAAATAACCGCAAACTGTTGGATATTCAGCTAAAGTCTCGTCTGTCAGTATTCGGGCAAGGACTCGATCCAAGGAAATTCAACGGATCATCCGCAACGCTGATTTCGAAAATCCACACTAGAAAGCACGAAAACAGCGAGAACATACGTTTTCCAAAGCTTTGCAAGTTAAAATAGGGCAGTTCCCGCTATACCTTCGATAGTCTAGAGACAGGACCTTACAATTGAAGTTTCTTTGAATATCTGTTCCCATACAAGGAGAAGGTTGTTTATGGAAAAACAGAGAAGGAAAAAAGATGCCAAATAACAAAGCAAAAAACTCAAAAACCGGATAAAAACGCTGTAACGACCAGCAAATCTTTCTTTTGGCGGCCTTTCAAGTTACAGGTTTTCGCTCCAGGACTAGGCAATCTAGAACACGATGTTTGGAAGGCGTTATATCAAGAAGAAGATAGGCGAGAAAAGAAGTAGTCATGAAAACTTTTGTTATTACTAACAAGGAAAGGCACCTAATTCAGGTCGGCCTTTCAAAAAGGGACACATATATTTGGGATCAGCTTGAAACGCTGATTTCAAATCTGCTTTCCATAGCTGCGAAGCATTACTCCGAAGCGAGTTCCGTGCTTTTTCCTGAGCAGTTTGCGTGTTGACCTACTTAGGTGCTACGGTATCACAAATCTAGGTAGTAGTTCAAATGCATACTATATCCAATCAAAGCCTTATGACTCAATTTGATGTAATTTCGATTTTCCACCATTTTTTGGACAGGTTGTCATCTAAGCCTTTTTTCCATATTCAGTTATATTCAACGACACATACTAAAAAGCTCCTAACTTGCTTCAGAGGAAAGCTTCGGAGCTAAGGACAGCATATTTGGAATCAGCGTTTCGAGCTGATTCTAAATATACAGGATGTTCTAAAAAATGTACTCACTATTTGATTGTAGATAACTCTCTTATAATGAAGTGTTTCGGGAAGCTTTAGGTACCATGTAGAGCGAGGTTAGATTTAGATTTACAGCACGGAACAAATCATCGATTGCACTTCATTACTGTGGGATTACGGTAAGAACTTCCAGCATATGGAACCAATGTGAAATGTACTTAGCAAATTTTTTTTCAAAAAATCTGAAAAATCGTGTACTAGTGTTCTCGCACATGCTGATTCCACCTAACAACTTTTCACTAGTGTTTTCAGCTTTTTTGACGGTATTATTACATCTCTTACAAATGCTGGGATTTGAATTATTACGATTTACCGGGGATAACTTAGGAAAGAAGCATCACGGTCAAATGGGAACTTCAAATTCGAAATCAGCTGCTCCCGTTACTAGCATAAGAGTTTCTGGATTGTTTGATTTTGTTCCGAGGCAGAATATAGCTCCAATGGCCTAAAATCTTTGTCAAAGTTCGTACCGTAATCTTACAGTAACAAAGAGCGCGATATAATTCGCTCCATACTGTAAATCTAAGTTGAACGTCACTCCACAAAATGGTATCTAAAGCTTCCCGGAACACTTCAACAAGAGAGTTATTTAAAGTCAAACAGTGAGTACATTTTTTGGAACACCCTGTATGTGTCTCATTCCAAAAGGCCGACCTAAGTTAAGTGACTTCACTTGTAAGTTGAAATGCAAGTTACAGTCCGATTTCGTGTCCTTCTTTTAGCCCTTCTGTAGTTTCTACTTGGCAACGTTACCAGCTTTATTCTCCTTATCATTCTGAGCAAGATGCCCCTAGGTGTGAAAGAAGTGGTTGCCTGATAATTCCAATAAAGAGCTATTAACAAAAACGCATTTCTTGAAGCTTTTCGTCAAGTATTTCACCACAAGCAAAAAGTAGGCCCTGCGACGTTTCTCCATTGTCTCTCTTCTGTCTCTGACATAAGCTAGATCTATCGATTGCACGAAAAAACGCATGAGAAGGGCTAAAGTGAAGAACAAACAAGGGTTTTTCGAACACATTTTTTCAAGATTTCTCATTCACATCAAAAAAGGAGCTTTGCGACTTCGTCAGGGTGATAGTAAAGATCAAGAACTTTATTATGACATACATTTTGTAGAATTGTGTTCGCAACAACGAAGAAAGAGGTACTAGATAACCGGCTTTTGAAAGGATTCGAGCCTGCGGAGAGTGCGCCTCGGTGACTTCCGAACGGGAACGCATTTCGAAGACCATCAAAAAATTATTCGAAGGAAATTTTTGAGGTAAGATCCATACGTATGTGAGCAGCGGGTGGCTAAGCCAGTTGCAGAACAGCTTTGCAAGAGGATCTTTTAAAGTACAGGAAAGTCAAAATATTGAAAGCAGTCGAATGAAGACGAAGTCTTATGAAGGGAATGCGAATATCACATGCGGCTGGCTGCACTATCGAACTAAAAGGGGATTCCAACTTCTTCCTGATATAAGATGGAATTATCGCGAAGAGCTTCTACAACCTCTTCCGCTCATCAACACCCCTGCCGATGCCCATTGTTCGTTCTGGAGAAATACCAGCACGGATTCTACCTGCTAAAGTGCGCAAGGCGATTTAGACCATGAAGAAGTCCACGATTTCCGGACCTGACCATTTTTCCGTCGAGTTTCTGCGAGCCGGATGACAACATCTGCAAAAGATTCTCGCGTTGCATCCGACATCTTATCTTCAGATAGAAAAGATTCCCAATCAGTCAAAAACTTTAAAAGCAGTTCTTTCTAGAGAAGGGCGAAGGGGAGGATCCCCGAAACCACGGCCGATATGCCTACTGAGTGTGCTGTACAAGCTTCACGAAAATTATTCTCGCTCATATATTAAGGACACTGAAAGCTCAACCCCAAGAAGTAAGTTGGATTTCGCAAGGATTCAGCTGCATAAACCATATTCAGAATCTCGTCATAATCTTCGTCGACTACGAGAAAACCTTTGACAGCGTCGAAAACAACGCCATCCTATCAGCGCTAGTCGATCAAGGAGTGGACCCAGCTTACGTGAGGACGTTAGCCGACTGCTACAAGAACTGTACAACGACGATGCAGCTGTTCCATCGCTCCCTGACCATCCCAATTGGGAAGGGGATCCGACAAAGCGACACAATTTCGCCGAAGCTGTTCACTGCGGCCTTGCAGTGGATGATGAAGTCACTGGACTGGGACGAGAGAGACATACGAGTTGATGGGAGAATCCTGTCGAACCTTCGTTTTACGGACGACATCGTTTCCTTTTCGAGCAGTATCACTGAGTCAGGGACGATGCTGAAGCGACTAAACCAAGTAAGGAAGGATATCAGATTGCGAATAGATCAATATAGACTCAGTTTATGAAGAACGTCATTTGGAAGACGCAAAAAAATATAATTGCAAGGCAATTCTTGCATCCTCTATAATGGAAGCGACTTACGTGTTCTCGGGCATTCGATGAACATGGAGAACGACTTGAGAAAAACTTAACATGAAAAGAAGAGCAGCCTAGGCCGCCTTCACGCCACCAAATGATGGACCCCGAGCTTCATGTCCACCTGTTCGGCTCGTACTTCCATTCTCTTACGCAGATGAGACTTGAGCCGACACTGTAGCCACGTCGAAAGCTAAGAACCACTCACAGAGCACTTGAGCGCAGTTTTCACAACATCGGTAGCATTATAAAAAATTACATTCCAGTGCTTTTTTTGGTCAAAACGTTCTGGACATCGTGGATAGAATTTCGCAGGCTGGTGGTAGGTAGCGTGGGACACATCTTTTCCGAGTTCTCTTAATCGGCGTTTATACGCTCTGGCTGTCGGGGTCTTTATCAGTATAGCAAAAAATCGGCAAACGTGTCAGGTTTTACGAGTTGAACGCGTTTTTCGCAAGCGCGCGAGTCCAAGAGCAACTCAAACAAACAAAAGGCTTGCTTACGCACAAACAATCACCTGGCACCGAATTTAAGTCATGTGTATACAATATTACTCCAAATAAAAATGGGTAGTTTCAGAAACTTATGTGTCCTAATACCCGTTCCCAAATTTATTGGTTTCTAGACTTACACCAAACCAACTGGGTTGGTTCGAAGCATAAAAATCGGAGAGTTCACATAAACTTTGGATTTCTTTGACTTGAACGATTTGAACGCTCAAAAATCTGCCATATAATGAACAGAGCAAATCAAACCATTGCCTCTCCTCTTTTCTTGAGCCAAAATTAACATAAACCTACGCATTGATAGGTATCGCGCTGCAATCACATGCGGTGTCCTTTGAACTATGTGGCGAAACATGCATCGCCAGATTGTTGAGGCCACAGATCTGGTTGGCCTAGGAGGTTTTCGACACATTGAGCACTGAAATGGTAGCATACTCAATAATAGAGCCTATAGTCAAATCAAAATATGTATTTTTGCCTTTTGTTATATCTCAAAATACGCTCTGTTCGCTTTTGTCATGTTAATCAAATAAAGGTTTCCCTACTGATTCTGAAGTAAAACTAACTTCCTGAAATTTTGACAACTCATCGGGACTTCGTTTCCAAAAATCCAAACCAACGCGCGCGCCCTGGGGAACTCAATTTCAAGGAATCCAGCAAATCTGTTTTCGCTATCCTGCGCACCTGTTCCCAGATAAAGTGGATATTTCAAAGAGGCGAAGTTTGCATGATCGCATTCCCACCGAAAAAGTCCGCTAGGGTTCCTCCATTGTAGATGATCGTCCGTGCAATCCATGACACAAACAAGGATTTCGAGAAGAACCAATGCAAGATATGTGACATACATTCTGAACATGAGTATCCTTAAATAATATATAAATCGAGAAATTATTTGCAAAATGCATTATTTGGAAATTCGAAACACCACATTTGAAAGAAACTACGTGACAGCGTTTATAACAGCAGATAAACACACTTAAGTATATGTAGTGTTCGCTCACGTCCCCCGTCACTGCTGATAACGATGGCATAACTGTCACTCCTGCATATTTTTTATGGCTTGCTACGCTTCGTCCCTTTCAATGTATTAACTTCTATCGGCCACCGAAGCAATTATTTTTAGAGGCAGGAAGCAAAAAGTCTCAACATTTTCTAAACCATTCGAAGGTTTAAATTATAGAAAATCGACGTAGACCGTCGACTTTTTTTTCTAGGTCTTCTAAGCCGTGAAATACGATGGATTTCATGTAGCCCATTTATAAACTAATTTTGTGTGCTCACTTTCTACCCCTATCGCAAAGAAGATGAAAGCTACGAGAAAATCGAATGTCTATGTTTGTTGATAAAGATTTTCTCTGTTATAGAGATAGATAATCAGCAGTGATTATGTCTTCGCTGGGCAGAGTTCTGCAGTAAAATATGACCATATAGTTGGCAAACCCGGCTCCGCCCGGCCCTGTCAATAACATATTTGTAATCAGCATGCTCGATTACGCTCCCTGTGCCAACTCCGAGCCCCGTAGCTCAAGTTTTGCAAAAAATCGATTAAATCGATATCGATCGATAACGAAAAGTGGCCTACGACACGCTCCCCGCCCCGAAGTATATGTGTCAAGTTTGGTCCAAATCGGTTCAGAATTGAAAATTTCTATTCCGCACATACGTACATACCAGTGGCGGTCGCAGGATTTCGGACCGGGGGGGGGGGGGCGCCAAAAAAAATTTTGAATGAAGGTGCGTGGCTAACGCACGCCCCCGAAAAAAATTTTTTGTAAGGCTAGTTTGAATTTTTAAAAAATTTTGAAAATTATTTTATTTATTTACAAGTAAAAACAAGTCACTTGCACATTTTTATGAGCCATATAAGTAATTTCAAAAAACGCGCCCCCCTCGCCCCGCCCCCTCGGACCGCCACTGGTACATACAGACATACATATAGGGCACTTGAAAAATCGTGACAATGGCGCGACCGCGCGCGACGAGCCGCCACTTCCGGAAATTGCATTTTCTTAGTTCTCATCTCTAGTCGAATGGTTTTTTGCTACGTATGATAATATTTAGACGCTGGAAGTGGCTAAGTTGAACGTTAAGGTGATGCCTTCTTGTATGAGCGTTTTATGCTCCGATGGGCGCAAAGTCCGCAGTAAAATCCGTCGTCACGATTCTATAAGTGAACGATACACACATTCAGTTTTATATGTAAATATCTTTATATATAAAGCTGAATCTGTGTTTATCTGTATGCTGTATGTATGTCTGTACGTATGTGGGAACAGAAATTTTTTTGAATCGATTTGGATCAAACTTGGTACACATACAGAGTGTCCCAAAAAGATGTGCACACTGTTTAATCGTTAGTAACTCTCTTGCTTTCAAGTCTTCTGCCGAGCTTAAGGTACCATTGTGTAGAGCGAGGTTCAACTTAGATTTATAGTTTGGAGCAAATCAGTAATCGCTCTTCATTACTGTATGGTTACGGTATGAACTTCCAGCACACATCGTCACTGTGAAATAGGCCTCTTAATGGAATAATTTCAAAAAAATCTGAAAATCAGTGTAGCTAAGTTTTCAGGCATGCTGATTGCATTACATAACTTTTCACCAGTTTTTAGAGCTTTCTTGATGGCGTATTCACATTTCTGACTAACATTGAAAAAACAGTTGTTACCCTAATTATGAAATAACTCATGAAAAAAGCATTATACCGAAATGCAGTCTTCATATTTAGAATCAGCGACTCTAGTTAGGTCGGTACAAAAGTTCCTGGCTTGTTTGGTTTTCCTTCTAAGGCAAAAATCACTTTCGGTAGCTCAAAATCCTCCTCGAAGTTCCCACCGTAATCCCACAGTAATGAAAGGCGACTGATAACTCGCTCCATACTGTAAATCTAAGTTGAACCTTGCTCTACAAGAGAGTATGTCAAGCTCGGCAAAAGAGATGAAAGCAAAAGGGTTATTAACGATTAAACAGTGTGCACATCTTTTTGGGACACCCTGTATATTTCGGGGCAGGGAGCGTGTTATAGGCTGCTCTTCGTTATCGATCGATGTCGATTTTATCGATTTTTTTTGCAAAGTTTGAGCTACAAGGCTGGGAGTTGGCACAGGGTGGTAAGTGAGCATGGCGATTCCGAATACAGTACTAGTTTTTGGAATTATCGATTACTTTTATCGATTTTATCGGTTTTTTTCAAAGTTTGAGCCTCGGGGCTGGGAGGTTGACACAGGAAGATAATCGAGCATGCTGATTATGGATACACTATGAGTTTTTGAAATTATCCGCTACTTTTATCGATTTTTTGCAAAATTTGAGCTACAGGGCCGGGAGTTGATACAGGGGGCTAAGTGGGCGTGCTGATTTCGAAAACAACACAGGGAACGGGAAATGGAGTGTAGAAGTGGGCACAGGGAAACGCTGTACAGGGATAGGGATGGGACTTTTACCACTGTGTTTTGATAGGGCCGAGCGGAGCCGGGTAAGCAAGCTAGTTTAGAGATAAAATAAAATGTATCTCTTGGTAGAGGGGGGCTAGAAAGAAGTCGACGGTCTATTTCGAATCCCCCTTTCATAAGCATTCGAATGATGTATTGATTGTTGGGCGAAAGTAATGGCTAAGTTTTGAAAAAGGGGTGGGGATAATTACCATTAGCTTGCTCCACCTTGCCATCTTCAATGATATTGGCTTCTATGGGTCACCGAAGCAGGTATTTTTTGAAGCCAAGAAGTAAAAAGCCCCAACAATCTTCAAACCATTCGAAAGCTGAGCTCATGGGGAAGCTACGTAGACAGTCGTCTTTTTTTCCAGGTCTTCTTAGTCGTGAGATATGAGACTAACTGATTTTGTTTGCTCACTTTTTGCTCTCCTATCGCAGCTATTGTTCATTTATTTCATTTATTCAACACACACAAGGCGAGCCACATTTTGGACAACGAAAACGATTATACTCAGAATCTGGGCAGTGATAAACAAACAACCAAAAATCATTTACCAACAAATCAAGTCCGGCTCCGAGATGTGTTAAGAATGGAAGGGCGGGGGGGGGGGGGGGTTAAGCTTGTTGGAACCACGTACGAATATATCATTGAGAAGCTCACTGGAGTCTGTCTCATGCCCTTGCGTGTAGCAAAAGTGCTCTAAGATCACTCAACCTAAGCAACTGTATTTGCGGGGACGGTATGTGTTGATAAATATGCCCGACTTATTGTGGGGAGGGAATAGAACTCGTTAATAAAATGCAAAAAGATGAGACAGGCCTAACTAGCTTTTTGCAAACAATAAAGGAAGGGTGAACTGGACTGGAACGTGTGGGAGAGTAATGGTCAAGCCAGCGAATGACTTGAAGCTTCAGCGGCAAATATAGTATCTGGAAATGTTATCACTGGGAGACCTTTTGCGCAATTGGAAGATTAATAGAGTTAGTCAGTTTTATCGTACCCCAAGCAGCATGCGAAGCAGCGAGCGTAGGAGAAGTTCGGCAGGTAAACGGCAGTACTATACGAGCGATAACGAGAAGTAGTCATCTGGAAGAAAATCAGTCAAATTCAACTTCTCGAGTCTTCGTTTGAAAGTGAACTATCTAAAGACAGAATTTTTCAGGTAAACACTGGAGATATTTCGACATGCTTGCAAAAACTATTACTCGCACTTGTTATCAAAGAGGCCGCTGAGTGGCAGTAGATATGCTTGCATTGTAAAGCATGTGAACAGTAGCTTTTGAGTGACACACTCTTGGCGTGAGTAATAATTGTTTATCGCAACTACCACTCGCACTTGTTATCAAAGTGGCCGCTGAACAGCACAGACGTCACGGTAAAAAATGTAAACAGTAGCCTTTGAGTGACACACCCTTGGACGCTTATCATAACGTCCTTGAGTAATATGCATTTAGTGGTCGAATGGCTGATAAGCAATGCATTCAGTTCTCTTTGTTTTCATGAATGTCAGGGTTTAGCTCAATTTTCTAGCTAATAGACATATAATAATAGCAACTAAACAAATATGTCCATCTTTTGAGGAGATATGCAAGACAGCACCACCAACGAACAGACCTTTGTTCAAGCCTTTGAGGAAAGAGTGGATTTTTAGACGACTAGTTGCAAAGAAAAAAGTGAGTTTTTTGAAGAGTTCCATTTTTTCATTTCTTTCTCTTTATTTAGGAGATATCCTGACTCGTAAGCGACATGACATCGTGCTCACGAGGAAGTACGCACCTTGAAGTGTCATGCTGATAACGCTTTCGGAGGGGCTACACATGTGAAAATTACCATTTTTTATATTCTGGGAAGTACATAAGCGATACGTTTTAATGGAATGCATATCGAAAAGGTAAACTTTTTCAGGAAAAAAAATGAAAATTGCTTATGAGAGATTTACATCTTCAGACATCGAGGGCAACACATGGAAGGGTGATCCATATGACACTCCATTGGAGTTTGGAGATCTGAGCCTAGTCAACGAAAACCCAAGACGTGAGATTCCAAGAAAATTCTAATCTGCTATCCAGAGAAGTGTAGAATTTATCAATAAAATGAAGTCAATTAATTCATGCTTCACTAACTCTCAATATAATTTTCTAAATGCGCGAAAAGGAATTTCAAGTGCTGTAAGTGCGAATGTCATTCCTTAAAGGCAGCGGCTCGGCAGAATGACAACTTTGGGATATTCATCGTTCTCGGCTTTCCTGGATGAGCTAAGTCCAAGACTGTACTTTGCAGCTTCAAAAGATATCAATAACCCGCTTTTCCAGACGTGAAAAGCGCTAGTTGAGGGGGGACCGCGTAAGCGCTCTCTAGAGTGCGATTGGCTCGTGAGTGTAAATACTGTACCCACCGTACGCACGAGCCAATCG